AACGCGGGGCTGGGGAGGGAGCTGGGATCTCCAGGGTGTTGGTTTGCAGAGCTTTACTGGTTTGTCTGCTGAGGCTGTGGAAGGGAGGGGACTTTTTCCTGAAAAGCATCAGTGTTGAATCAATCCAGTGGCTGTTCTGGAAAGGCTGGCTGCTCTGCAGGCACACGACAAAGGAATTTAAGAAAGCAAATGGCACGTGTGCCCGTGGCTTGTGGCAGAGCTGCAGGTGAGGGAAGGACCAGGAGGGGCTGAGGGGCTGTTAGCTTGAGCAAAGAGCCAGGAACAGTGTTGTGCCTCCCTTGGTCCCTTGGGTTTTTTGGTGTGGTGTCAGAGCAGCCCAGGGGAGGACAGTGAGGGAGGTGGCCAGTTGTACCTTGTGGGTTCTGGAAGGCTGCATGTCACTGTCCTGGGCAGCAGACATCCTCCCTGCCACCTCCCACCCTGCCTTGGGAGCAGGGAAGAATGCCTGTTCAGGGGAGTAATGTGGACATGGTGTTTCCTGGGATGCTCTGCTGCCTTAGCAGGGCTTGGTCTTGCTGGGAAAGAGCTGGAGTTAGTTGTGCTGCCTCAGGGGAGCAGGAGGTTAAATGGGTACAAAGCAGGAAGGAATATCTCCACGGGAAGTACATGGGGTGAGCAGCTCATGGAGAGGTGATTTTTGAAGGTAGCAGAGGTTGCTGAGATGCTCTTGGCTGTTCATGAAATTGCTGCTTCTGCTGTGCAGCCAAAGCTCCATCATCCCAGCCCATGCAGGCCTGGATCAGGCAGTTACTAACACTGTGTAAGTGCTACCAAAAAGTCTGTTGGGCTGGAGCTCCAGCTGGCAAAAAGTTTCAGCCTCACCAGCACCAAGAACAAAATGGAAACTGGTGTTCAGCTGGACCTCAGGTATTTCCACTGTCCTGGCCAGAAAGGGTGTGGGCATGTAAATTCTGGGCGACTGGAGCACAACCCTCCATCCTCACTTGGGTCCCAGAGGTTTCTCCTTCTGGAATTTCCTAACGGCTCCTTCCCTGCCTCCAAGTGTTGACCTTGCCTGTCCCGAGGCAGTGGGGTGCTGGATTGATTGCCTCTCCCCTCTGGGTTCCCTGCTGTCTGATGAGCAGTGTGCTCACCAGCACCTCACACCTTTCCTCTGGGCTTGCTCAAGCCTTCTGGTTTCCCAGACCTGTAGGAACTTTGGTTTTTGAGGCCATGCTGTTATCAGTCAGTGCCTTGAAGAGCTGCTGGATGCAGGCAGGCACATGCTCAGAGTGTCATCACAGGAGCTTTGTTTTCTCTGAAAATCAGGCTTAAAATGCCCTGCTTTCTGCTGGCAGCTGCTCAGTCCCCTTCCCCAGCCTCCCTAGTTTCACGTGCATGGGTAAGAACCCAGCAGAGAACAGCAGCCAATTAATAACACGTTTGTTTCTGTCTTTCTTTCCTTCTCTGGTGGGGGTGTGGAGGGGGCGGGGGAGAAACGGATGCAAGATAAAGTGTGATTAATCTATAATTGGACCAGAGAAGACATCTGAAGCAAAAATAACAAGGAACGTAGGTGTAACTCCTAGCTCAGGGCTTCAAAATATTAGCAGCTTAGCCCATCCAGATGACATACTCCAAAAGATCTCAGGTCCCCACCAGAGATGGGAAACAACCACCCTTGGTGAGATGCCAGATGAGGTGCCTCCTTTTGCAGGTCTCCTATGGTGCAAATGCCTCATGTTGTCTTTGGGAAGAGTTTCTGGATGGAGAAGAGCACAGGGCATGGGGAGGAGGTTCTGCCTAGGGTGAAGGGGCTGTTCCCTGTGGCTGGGCAGGAGAGCCTGGCACTGTTCATCACCTGGGCTGGCTTGGAGATGTGGCTCTGGTCCTATGGACAGTCCACAGGGGCTGTGTCTCAGCATGGAGCACAGCATGGCCCCTTCATTGCTGCTTCTCCAGCTGGGCTCCTTGAGGGTTGTGGCCTCTTTATCTTCTGGATACCTTCCCCAAGGCTGCAGAGCTCTGTGGTGAGCAGTGAGTGGCCACCAGCTGGCAGCCTGTGCCAGGAGCCAAACCTCTGCCCGCGCCTGGGGATCACCAACTTGTGGCTTCTCTCTGGATAACTTGCTACTGGAAGGCCTGCCAGGGTCCTTTCCCCTTCCAAATGGTGGTGCAAAGCTAGAAATAAATCACCATCAGCCCTGGCAGTGTCAGACCTCAGTTTGCATCCGGAAGAAGTGGCTTCCCACACTTTGGGCATCTTCTCTGCAAAGACCCCATGGTGCCCACACAGAAGGGGCTGCAGCTGGGACCCTGGAGGTGACAGGCTTGGCAGGAGGTGTCTCTCCTGGGTGCTGTTTCTCTCTTCCTTTTCTTCCAACCCCAATCTCTACCCTGGAAAACTCTCCAGCCACACACTGGTTTATAGAGTGGAAGCAAGGCCATCCCTGCTGTGAACTCGCTGCTTTCTCCCCAATCTCCTGGTGTTCCTGCAGCTGGGCAGGGGCTTGTTAAAGCTCCACAGAGTCCCAGGGCCTGGCTGGCTTAAATGCAGTGAAGGCTGTTGCCTTTTCCCCAGCTGAGAGTCTGGCTCGTGGCATCCAAGCTGGATAATACTCCTTTCTCTGGTGGCAGGAGGAGCCTGTGCAGGGCGTGGGGGTGGATGTTGGCTCAGCTGCAGCTCCCCAGGGCAGGAGTGCTTTGGGGGGGGAGGCTGGCAGGTGTGGTGTGGGGGGCAGGCAGGGGGGGGTGTGGCTTCTTGCCTCCCCTGGGGTGGAAGAAAC